ATTGAAAATACAAACAAAGTTCAAACGTAGTCCTTTATACGCATCTTTTATATACGATGTTTTGTCACGTGGGTCGAATTCGGGAACAGACACATACCCTGCAATGCCACGAAGAAGGAGAAACTATTACGCAGGCCGTAAAAGCTCTTACGGATTAACGATCCGTAAAAGACCACGATGACAGGAACCGAAAGGAGTTATTAGCCCTTGCTAGCGACTTACACGGCACTTATCCGCTCGCCCGCATGTAAAATCGAAGCTGCTCAAGTTCGTTTACGAGAGGAGGCGCATTATTTCGATCATTAAAAAGCTTGCACCGTTTATCAGTCCAATTCTTGGAAGTGTTTAGATTTGTTTTATCGCGTGTCATATAATATTTCAGCAAGAAAAAGCATTTTTATCTCTGATAATTTTTATCTCTGGTAATCTTCGCGCGGTTTCACGTTGAACAGTTAGAAATCGGCGAAGTAATTCTGACGATTTCAAATATTTTCACAAGCAAAAAAAACATGTCGCATTCGTTTCAGTGTTTTAATAATCAAGTTCCATAAAACTCGAGAGGATAAGACATGAAGATTTCTCGCAAGTTACATGGATGCGACCAGCTTTTGAAGCGCGTTTCTCTTCAAGACGTGCGCGCGCGCGCGCGTGCCGGGCACGTGTACCCGCGCTCGCGGTTCCCTTTAAGTTTGTGTTACCCTTCCACATTCGTTCACGCGTTAATGCCCGCGTAAAGAGAGAGAGGAGAAGCAGGAATAGAAGGAGAGACAGGACGCGGGGAAAGACGCGGCACCGTGTGCCATCGTGGTTTTTTGAGCGTTCCAAAAATATACCCTCGACTTGGGGAAAGATAAAGAGACCGGCTGGAATGGCGGGGATTTGGAGGGACCGGGCGAAGGTGCGAGAGAGAAAGAAAAGGAGGATGCATCTCGAGAGAGAAAGCGAAAGAGTCTCGACGGGCGGCTGAGACGAGATTGGGAATGCCAGTCTTCGGCAACTAGTCATCCTAGAAACGTGCTCGCGAGTGCCACGCCGACAAAAGGCAACGCGAAAAAGAGAGAAATCACAATCACCGATACGAACTGGCTCCTCTCGATTCTTCTATCCCACGATTAGAATAAATAAATCGGCGCCGATTGGTGAAACAGCGCTACGGATGTATCCTCCCTATTTTTTGCGAGATCAGCCGAGATGAGTCAAAATGACGTGCTTATAAATGCACGATATTGACAATAAAGATATTGGTAATAATTTGTACAATTACGAAGGAAATTCCAATTTCTCTAATTTCTAGTTGACACAATTGAATTAGAAAAAAAAAAGATCGAATACGAATAACACGCGTGGACACAATAACGCTTGGAGTCACATTTTAACGGCGCTTATTGTCACTCGAAATACGAAGCGAGAGTGATGCGCGTGCAATATCATTCCCTTTGACATTCGCAGATCATCTTGCGATCGATATATCGGCTCGCGGCGACCGCACGCCGTCGACGCGCCTCGGGCGCAATCCACAGTGACGCGTTCGTGGCTAAGGATGCCCTTAAAAATTGAGAGCGGCACCTACACGGTGAACCCGGTCGCGAAAAAGAATGTCTCCAAGTTCCTCCTCTGGAAACATTGGCGGCGAAGGTAGGCAGTGAGAAAGAGACGTTTGCGAAAGATTGAAAAATCCGTTGAGCGAGTTTTAACAACGAGTCTCTAAAATTTTAACAATGAATTTACTCTGACATTAATATTGCGTTGCACTTTTGAATGCATGTTTTTTTTTCTTATAGAAGCTAACACGCGTTCAGGTGTACGATGTTTTTATCCAATGTGGATAACTGTTAATATAATTGATATTTAATGTGTGATATTAACAATTAATCAACCATAAATTAACGTTCTACTAACACAACACGCAATATGTTATAAGCATCTGTTGGATCCCTATTAGATGTTTCACGGTGAAGCGATTAGAATGTGAATAGATATTATCGAGATTCATTTAATGGTGCAATGCAGCGATGCATCCGCATCATGCATTCGTCACTCCTGTAACGCGCTGAGAAGAATCCAGGATTCGAGATGCTCAATAAACGTCGAGCGAGACTAAATCCGTCGGGCTATCGCGGTCAGCGTCGCCTTACGGCAACGTCGAGGTTCTCCCAAGTGACCCAGCTAGAGGAATTGTTATATGTCCACGTGTAATAACCCTTTGACATTTTCCAACGCTGTCGATTATTCCCCGTCCGACCACGTGCGTCCACGCATACAAACACACGCCATCGCCATCATCATCATTATCATCATCGGCGATCGAGCATGATTCGTTCACCTTGCACACCTTAGTCTTGCTTGGCCGCACGCCTGTACCCCACGATGCACTTTAAACCGTTAACTCGCAATTATGTCAGCGCCGATTTCCGCATCGTAAACAACATTGTACAACACCGAACAGTTTTACCTATACACGCGCGACTCGTTTCTTCAATCCGTTACGGGCGCCATATACTGATACATTACATGCACGAGTGCTGTTTGGAGCTCGGCGTGTTTTTTTTTTTTTTTTTTACCGAGGAGTCGCATCAGTGGCAGTGAAAGCGCTAGAAAGTATATTATATGGCATTCGCAAGTCTTAAAAAATATAATTTGGAAAATACGTACAACTTGACGACAGTTTTACTACAGTTATATATTCTAATTATAATTATAAATACGTATTATAATTCCACTTGTACGTGTAAATGATTTCAGTATGTAACGGTTTGAGAGAAACGAGACCCTACATCTCATATTGTGTTACTTGTTCGAAGAAACTTCCTCCGTTTCTATGTACATTACACTTTCGCGATTACATGAGCGAGTAAACGTGCGACATTCGTCGAAGGACGATCTGTGTTTTTTTCTTTTTTTTTTGCGCAAGACGTCGCAGAGCTGTCGCGAGTTTAATCGCCGATGTGAGAGCGATTTTATTGCATGCAGTTTGTGTAATCGCATCTGATACGCACCCGCTTGCGCTGATCCGCGATTGTGTACATAAAGGCTCGTTCTTTTTAGTCGCACTCTCTGGTAATCTCTCTCTCATTTTTCTCTCTTAGACAAGAGTGCGCCTGTCTTTCAAGAAGAAAAGTGCGACTGAAATGAACGGATCTGTAGTTGATAACTCCCATGCGATTCGCGACGAGTGACCGATGCATCTTTGTGCAATTAGCGCGTGCAATTAACACCGGCGCCAATTTCTCGACGATTTAATTTGCGTGCCGGAGCTATTTGCACGAGTCTCTCATTTGCGAGCGACAAATCAAATGTCGGAAGCTGGTGCCACTCCTGCAATAATTCTCGAAATTCAGATACACATCGTTTTCCAAATGTTCCTTTGTCGATTAGATAATTGATTGTTCAATTCGTATAGTTACGTAGCGTTATTTCCGATACTTTTTTTCTAATTCTTACCATCAGATTCAGTATCGTAAAAAGATTAAGGATATGCGAGGTTTTTTCGTGCACATAATGGTCATATAATGCAATACGGGAAAAATATGATATTGGCGCGCGTTTCGTGACTCGCGGCAATAAAAACTTGTGCCTTATTCATTGTCTCGATATCATGCAGAAAAATACGAAAGTCACGGTGAAATTAATGAGACTGCCTGCGCATATAATAACGTATGATGTTTGCCTTCGTTAAATCATGAATCTGATCGTTATTGCGCCGCAAAAAAAACTTTCCACTGAGTTTTCTCCGCGTTACAGGCATTAAAACGCCGCGCTCCTGTCGGACAGTTATGCGCTACGCGACTTCGATATCGCTAATTACTCTCTTTACATCGGTAATGAGAATATTCGGCTCGTTGACGCCACGTCGCGTCGCAGAGAACTTAGCGCGTCGCGCGCGCGGTGAAAGAATTCCGAGGGAATTCTCGCGACGAAACCGAGACCTCCCGCCCGTGGCCGAGGAACGCCGTTGTAAAATCTATTTTTGCTGTCTTCGAGATTCTCTGCATCGACGTTATATCGTCGAACCTCTCGGCAAGGTCCCTCCCGATTCCCTCCGTCCCTCCCAATCGTAATATTATACCTGCAGAATACCTCCGGTCTGTCGAGAAACCGACAATCCGTCGGATACATTGCAGTGCCACCAGTTTCCGTGCACGATGTTCTCGAGCTCCCTCGGTGATATACATACATGATGAGAGAAAACAATCGGAGGCCAACTTATCAATTGCCATTACACCGTATGAAAAAGTATAAAAAAGTAGTCGCGGCGGTTGTTGGCAAATGCTAATTCGTGCCACTTTCTCGCTTGCTTCGAGGCGACGTGACATTCACAAAAGAAACGGAGAAATGCAACTTGTTCCGTTAAACCCGATAAAGGCCGCCGGAAGACGGTTTTTCAACACGTCTCGTTATCAATCGAGGTCGCTCCGCTAAACTTGTCCATTTTTAAACTTTTCCAAAGTCAAATCAATGTATGTCAAAGTTTCATATAGAAATACTTGGTGTCCGATAATAAGCGCACTTGGTGAACAGCGTGATATTTCTTGTTGAAAAAGAGTTAAAGTTATATTTCCTCAGAGTTTAATCGGAGATCAATTTTTAAAGCTATACTGTTAAATATCCGGATGACAAGGGTCACACGACTAAAAATTTCATTAAAGTAATGTGTAAGATTAAAAGATGATCTGTCGTCCTTCGGGTTACCATTGCAGTTTTAACCTTTATAGCCTTCAGCTATAATGGATTAGAAGTCTTGAAAAGAAGTGAATAACGAAATATCATTTTTTAAATTAAATATCGATAAGTATCTATTATATTTACGTATGTCGCAAGACGACTTTTATCAAGGAAAAATAATTTCAGTCGTTAGTCGGAAATATCACCAAGGCGCTCGCAAGTTCGCACACCGTGTATTAAAATATGTATATGCACATAAATATCGTAACCGCACCGAGCTCGAGAACGCTCTGACAGCACGCGTGACAGCATACGGGATGAGAACCGGACCTGTGCAGTGTGCACGAGGATCGCGTGGACGAGGAGCGGCGAGCGAGCGGGCAGCCTCGGCGCGGCGGTGGCGAGGTGGCGGGTCTGGACGACGTCGACGACTCCTGTGCCGCGACGGTGACATCGTCGGTACCCGGAGCCGGTGGCATCCGCTCGCATCGACGCACTAGACCGCTCTCCTTGGCGGTGCAGCCTCTCAACTATCATCGCCTCGATCCGGATCCCCGACCGTCAGCGCAGAGCGTCACCAGGCATCACCCCAACATGACCAGCCAGGAGAGCATCGGTAGCTGCAGCCTGGACGTCGACCGCTCTGCGTCCGACCGATCAGGTTGGCTATCCCGCATTGAGAGACACGTAATCCCCACGATTACGTGACGCGTTACCGATAAGAGCTCAGCAATCGTCACCTTATTATCGAAAAGCATTCCCATGGCTATATAAATTATTTTTATTTCTTCAAGTTGTCTAATTAATGATCTCTCCCAAGTTGCGTATCATTGAGAGAAAATATCTAAAAGAAAATCTGGAGATACGTCTAGAATTCGTGATATTTAAAAATCGAATAATATATAACATATGATTAACTAAAGTTTCACGGAGAGATGAGAGCTATTCAACAATTGAAATGTTTTTGAATGGATTATGGATTTTTTAGTGCTAATATATCTCTAGAACGTTACGATTCTTTGGCAAAAGAACTTTGCTGCGATGACAGAGAATCTTCCCTATCAAAGAAAATGATCGCTTCTCGCAGAGAATTGTCTACGAGAACTCGGTCGGGTCGAGAATGATTAGCGTCGCTTGAGCGAGGAAGTCATTTCATGGAAAAAAGTGGAATGCGCTTGAAAGAACGTGGGATTATGTCGTACAGTTTATCTCTTAAACCAATTCCTTCAATTATCTGAAAATGCGACAATTAATTGACTGAAAGCCGCACGTTAAATATCTAACAACCTTGATATTACTTAATCAGTAAAATATTCCCTCACATTATATTTTACTTTGGCTCTTTGCGAAAAACATATATTATATCGGGCATTGACTACAAATTCTGATTTGTGCATCGCGAATTGATGAAATTTCTTAGGAGGACAGAAGGATTGTGCGCGATTAGCTCAGATTTAAAGACTTATCTTTTGTATCGCGATCTCAGGTATTCCATGGACCGAAATCCATGCAGATTTTCGAGGCTTCAAGGTCGGTGAGGTCGCCGATCTCTCCACCGTTACTTTCTCGCAGGTCGGCGGGCGCTTTTTGCTCGCTCGAAATACCGATCGGATTTAGCCCGTAGGCAAGTTTGCACCAAGTGCAAATGCTTCTTTTCCTCATCGTTGCCAAGAAGGCACTGACGAGGGAGTCTCTGCTCAGTGTTCCAGGACCGTCACGACGATTTAGACGAGCGTGGAGAACTTTCTGCGGGCTCGTTGGCTCATCTCAATTCCGCGAAGCGCGCCGGTTGATCGTAGTCGAAAACTCCCAAGTGTGACCAAGCCGGATTTCCATCCGGTTGTTTCGGCGTAGCGAGCTTGGAGCCGCTCCACCGGTTCCCAGGAAATAAGGTTGCGTCGCGATCACGACGCGAATAACATTCGTTTAACGCGAGTTGGCGTGTGCATAGTAGCGTGGGCGACAGGGCTTTTCGAAGGTGAATGTCTCGTCGGCCAAGCAGTTGGCTCGCGGACATTCATCGTTAATGGAGAGCATACGGTGAATCGAGATTTCGTGAATTGGGATAAAAGCGTAACAGAAGGATCTAAACGCCGACAGATAAATTTGAACGTTTTATTGCGGTTCAATCTGCGCAGCTCTAGCTCGCCATCGTTACGATAATACGAAGCAACCAAGTTTACAAGATTGTAATATCTTATTCAATCGCGCGGTGTGCGACGTTCGTGGCGATTTCTACGTCTTTCGTTCCGAGCTTTTGAGAATCGGAGCCGAAGAGGATCGAGAAATATTCGCGAGTGTTAGATCGAAATTTCCGTTTTCAGAGAACACCGTGGACTCCGTGTCCGAAAAGACTCTGCACAGCCTGAACCTGTCGTGCAACGGCGAACCGGTGCCGTCATCCGAGAATTTAGCGAACGGTAGCAACGAGACGTTGCAGAAGTCGCATCTCACCCCCGACGAGAAGAAGTTGAACGCCAGCAATGCTCGTCGCGGCAGCCCCGAGCCGGAGCTGACGGCAGCGAAGAAGCCTAGTTACTTGGGATTGGCGTGCAGCATAAGCGGCTACTCAGGAATCACCAGGTACGACAGTAAACTGAGGGAAGGATTCCGCTCGAGAGACAGCAGTCCCGGCACGAGGCTGATCACGAGGGACACGAGTCCTGCAGGTTTCAGGTGAGGTGTTAGATTCATCGAGAGACACGGTAGTCTCTCGCGACAAATACACGCGCAGCGCGAGACGGCCATGACTCTTTTTCACGCATCCCTTTTACCTCGCCGCGCCGCGTAAAATGTACGTACGACTCTCGATTAAATATATCTGAAATCTATAGATCCAACGAGAATCTTAACGTCCCGACGTCCCACCATCCGCCTAAGAGCCAGTCGATATCGCCATTAGCGATGGAGAGACAAAACGGATTCACGAACGGCGTGAAGGAGGAGTGCAAGGTCGAAACGTATATGGAGAGTAGAAGTTCAATCAGCATGACATGCCAGGGTTACTCGGAAGTCGACAAGGGAGTGTCGTTGCACGCGGCATTTCCCGAACTCAGTCCCATCAGGATGAGCGCTTCCGCCAGCAAACGGAGCCCCGGATTGTCGCCGATGATGTCCTGCGGACAACAGAACAAGTCTGTGGGCACAGGTTTCTCCTCTCCGAAGCAAGGCGTCACTAATCGTAAGAAAAATTGCTTTCCATAAACGACTTTAATACGCTATTAATTTTATCTCTCTAATGGTTTTTGTGTAATTTTCTCACATACCTTCTTTAAGCTATATCTAAAAACTAATTCTCCTTTCAATTATTAAAAAATCAATTTCGACAGTTGTGGATCATAATATTTCAAGAATAATTTGAATAATGCCGTTGATGAAAATTTTAAGTAATTTATATTCGATATGTTGTATATTAAGTAACAAAATTATAGCCAGACTCAAATTTATTTTATATTATTTATTTATAAGTGAATATAACATTAATGTTGTATATTATTCTATGTTAACTAAGTTTAATACAGAATATAATATTTAATTCGTCGTTAAGTTGTGGGTCATATTACATTGACCTATATATTTTTGTTTTGATTAACGTTGATGTTTAACGATTGTTGTCATTCGATACATGTAAGAGATACATACGCGTTAGCAGTTAGTCCGTTTTGTATCGTCTTGTTTGCTGTACCGTCTTTTATTGTCGAGTTCAGCTATGCTTAGTATATTTCCTCTAATTTGCTACGTTTCCTCTGCTACATCCTCTGGTAAAGTAACTTCTAATTTAAAATATCTTTTTTATCTTTAATTATATCTATCGGTAAATACTTGATATTAGATTTTAATTCTGATTTATGTGTATTTATATATTGCTATTTGTTGTTAATTTTATTTTGGATTGTTCTTATGTCTATCAAAAAGAAATACTAAGAAGCCCGAAACTTTGGGCGTTATATTTTTATATCAATTGTTAAGTAATTATATAAATGTTCGCACCAACATCTCTTTATTGGTGGAGTGACTTAGTTCGAATTACTAGCCTTTCTGCATTATCATTTATATTTTATATTATTTTAGATTCTTTTATTTAATTTTTTTCGTTTTTTTTTGCAGTTTCGGGTGCATCGTTTAGCGATACTAGTATTCTAAATGGCTCGTCGGTAGAGGTTGAGAGTCAAGTGCTAAACACCTCGTCGAGCAGCGAGAAATCCTTTATTCAACAGCGAGTGGAGCGGCTGTATGGTCCAGGTGCTCTAGCGCAGGGTTTCTTCTTCAAACGCAGCATCACTAAGCTAAATACTAGCGACAGTAGTTTCAATAAATCCAGTAATAACAATGACATTTCGGCAGACAACGCTAACACGGAAGAATCGCTAAAGAATCTGCCTGTCCTGCGACATTTGCGTCCGGAATTTCGGGCGCAGCTCCCTGTAGTCAGTAGTAGAAAACCCACAGACGGCACAGAACAAGTTATAAAGCCACTACAAAGGTAAGCGTCTATACTTTAACCGTAAATAAAATAGAAATTGTTTTAATTTTCCTTTTTGACGACGAAATACTTTTATACCTTCAGGGTAACACCAATGACGCGAAAAAGCGAGCAGAAGACTCCTTCAACTACGAATTCACAAAACAGCGTAATTAGAAGAATCCCGATTACCATAGAGGGTGACGTACCGCAGCGCGATACGGCTAATAAAAGCATACCTGATCAGCAGCCAGCTGCGCCGAAAGTAGTGTTACCCGTGTTAGAACCTAGCGTCAGCTCGACGAATATAGCGAAACAAGCTCAAGAGGCGGAAAAAGTAGTCGAAGAGAAAGATGGTCATTATTTTATGAAGGTAATTGGAAAATAAATGCGTATATTACACGACGACAAATACCTATATTCTTTGGCAATGAGAATTTATAAACACTGTGCTTTTAGTTATTGAAAGAAGAGACAGATAGACTGCTGTCGTTGGCCGCATCTGCAGAGGCCGAGTTAGCCAGCGGTGATACTGTTGCACTGCCAGAAGAGGCAGCTGGGAAGCTGCGATCTGCCGCGGGAAAAGCAAGACTGTTAGCCTCACAGAAGATGCAGCAATTTGAAGGATTATGTCAAAAGAATATCGTAAGAAACTTTCTAATTGTTTGTTTCTTATCTGAAGCACTAAACCGATTACAATTAATGTCGTGTCTTGATATTTTAGAATCAGATGCCGGGTGAAGAATTTCCAACGACGAACGAGGACTTGGCTGGCTTCTGGGACATGGTGATGCTGCAGGTTGTTCAAGTAAACGAACTTTTTGACCAGATAGAGAAACTGAAGAAGTCGCAATGGCAAGAGGTATGACGAAATATTATTGTTGATACCGAATCAGCCTCTAACTTTTCGATTCATATTCCGTCTTTGAAATAAAAATTAAATTACATTCTGTAACATTTTGATTTTTCGCGATTGTACCTCTAACACTTTATTCCGTGTGCTGTAGGTCGTGCCGGACAAGAAAACCGCGTCGGCTTCGCAGCAGAACGGTAAACGCCGAGTCATACCAGTCCACAAAGCGAAACCGACCGCGAACAGTGAGGCAAACAAAAAGGCGCGAGAAGCGAGGGAGCAAGCGCGACGACAAATGATTGAGGAACGGAGACGAGCGATGCGCTCCAACGCGCAGAACGCCGATAATTCCGTCGAGATCTTCGCTCCCGAAACGTAACGACGAACCATTGTATGTCGAGTCCGAGTTTGATCGAGCGATACTATCGCTCGACATTGCGACTCCTAAGAAATATTAGCGTGTATAGACCGTCAGTTCGAACGCGAAAGGCAAGAGAAAGAAAGGGCTCGAGCTCGTACACGAGACGGCAATCAGCTTCGGCAAAAAAAATCAAATTTGCTTGTTATAATTATTCATTCAAGATATTATCCTTCGCTGCGCGCGTGCGCGCGCGTGAATCACACGTGAGTTATGCGCGGCGAAGAACAGGAAAGTATTAAGCAGATAGATCATGTAATATGTGTTGAAGTTGCTGAAAATTTAATACTACTACAAATAAGAAAGAGAGAGGATATACATACGAGTTAACGAAGAGCAGGTGTTTACGTTTTACAGCGATTTCTCTTTTTTTTCATCGAACTTTGACGTGTTTCGAGCATTCTAGCGCAATAACGCGATACGATATATGTCGCTCCTTGTCCAGTAAAGATATTTTATAAACGAAAGGTGAAATATTTACTGTAGCACTTTATCAAATTGTTTTTCTACGTTACGTGTCTCCGGACAGAAATTATTAACTTATATTTATATTAATATTAAATTAAAATAAGTTACGTGAGACAGAAGTTAGGAACAGACGACTGAAAAAGGAACGTGGTTCCGCAAGAATTTTCACTAATGGGAATCAGTCGCATTTTAAAAGTCGAGAGATGCGTCTAGGTTAAGGATAAAAAATTGATAAGAATTTGTAACATATAATAATTTGATATATACATATATATATAACGATTTTTTACACAAATACATTATTTACTAATTTATTTAGGATAGGTTCCGTTTCGATGATTCACAATCTCCTTAACCTAGACGGACAGTTTATTACGTAGCTTATGTATGTAAATAGAATTAATGAATATTCACATTTGCACAAGGCCGACTCCACGCCGAGTGTTCGCCTAATAGCTTTTTCTATCAGACGTCGATAAAGTTTCCCCCGTTGAGAGATATCGTCAACACCAGGTAGGAGTAAAAAGATTCCTATTATTCTTATCGTATATATTGCGCGTCTCACGGCGATAAATATTATTTTATTATTATTGTTCTAATTATGATCATGTGCAGTTACACCCTCGCGTCTCCCGCGCGAAACGTGGATGTACAAATTGATCCCACGTTCTCGGAAACGCTCTTAGCGATGTTTTCAGGTTTCGCGCACGAGGCTAAGGCTAACAAACGCGCTAGGAACACTCGACTGGCTAACATATTTTTTGACTACTTGTAAGATGATTGTGTTTGACGAATCGTCGAATATTGCACATAATTTGAAACGCTTGTCGAAAGAGACAGAGCGAGAGGTGTATATCCGGATGCAAACGCGTGGCAGATGCATTGATAATATCCTCACTATCGCGACGAATCTCCGCGACGAGAATCCGACTGTGATCGACGTACGTATCCGCCGAATTTGACATTCCTACGACAAGAATATCTCTCGTCACGACACGTCACATCCTTCTTTTCTTCGCGTAGTTGTACGATAGCGTTACTCCTCGGCGTCCGATCAATGGTCAGCGGTTCTAACGGCAAGTCATCAACCAAATAACACTCATACTCTAAGTAAATAATCCCACGCGCGTCGTCATACACGAACTGTAATCGCGATTCCGTTATAATGTTACATTTCTTATTATAATTGCCAATTACACTCGTCTCATTCGAAATTTTCATACAAATTTGCCCATATAATTTATTGATTGTTGATTCCCTTGGTGCCTTCATTATTTATACGTGTGTACATACATACATAATCGACTGACAGCCGACAATTTCATGTACATGTATCCATTTAAGTTATACGTTCGATCGAATTTCACGAAATCTGTTAATAATTGAAAATAAAATAAATAAATTCCATTATTTATCAGTATCAAGCGTACTTGAAAACGGAAACGGCGTTTCCGAAAAGTTAATCAGGCTGGCACAAATGAGAGTTGAAGAGAAATCATTAGGATATATTCTCTCTCTCTTTGTTGCGACAGTACATTCACCTTATTCGCATCCAGTAACAAAAAGGACATCCACAAAAAACGAACATGCACGTTTTACTGTTTATTTCTCTTTGACATATAAAAACACATGTATAAGATATAAAATAGGAATTCTCCGCGAACACCGTAGGCGTCATAAATTGCGGCGGTAAGTGTGGGAAGACGGTAAGTACATCCGATACTTAATCTTCGTGCGTACAATGCGTCACGTATGACATTCAGCAAAATGTCCATTTCCCTTCCGAGCCCGCAATTAATTACTCGGATAGTGCAACAATTTCATTCGCGAGCAAAACTTTCGTTTCCGTTCGTTTCTGCCGCGCGGTGAACACAACAAGGTGAATATTTCTGGTTGCACTGGTCTTCTTCGAGTATCCCATTTCGACGCTTCGCACCGCGGCACCCGTTACGGCGAGGCCGGACCCCTCGCTGATTTTATTTGCATGCTCAGGCTAAGCATATTAGGGTCTTTCCTTCGTTCATTTTGTCTTGGACCTTGTCGCTGGCCGTCGACTTCTCCGCCTGTCCGCTAAAGGCGGCGCAGACGAAGGTGAGAGCGACGCCGATAGCCGCGCTATAAAACGCCCAACCTGGAAGAAACGATCCTCTTTTACATCCTCCAACCGTCCCTAACTTGATTCGATCAAGAATCCAATTTAATTTTATTATTTTGTGTAACAAACAAGGAGCCTATCGATCGATCTATTCTTGGAACTGAAATCTTCATCGTATTTATTTAACGAATAAAAGTAAAACTGTCTCTCTTGAGAAGAAGAATTTAAAAGACTGATTTTATAAGAAATTATTTTTTTCTAACTTTCGATGTTGAACATTGAATTTACCGAGACTGCAGTTAGCAAGATAGAAGGCGTCGGCTTCAGGACCGCAGATTCTCTGCACTCTCTCGGCACCCCAACCAGCAGGATAGAGGATCATCCCGAAAAGATACAGTATTCCTGTGGAAATAAATGCGCAAAACTAGAACGACGTGCAAAATTGTAAAGCATACCTCGTACAGATGCGTTTCCCGATTATTTGATTTGTTAGAACCGTGACAATGGGACCGCTTTTTAAGTACATGCTCGTTGATTATTCCGGGCACAACCTTTCGCTACAATGGCGGTTGCGTCATTCGCACTCTCGAGATACCATTGTCAGCCTGAAAGCATGTTACGCACGCGGAATACTCAGCTGCAACGAAGCGATCATTGCTTTCTAAGATCTGCGTCATTCTCACTAATGTCAGAATGTCACTGATGACAAAAGGCCAGCGAGTTTTTGTATATATCGGAGCAAATGTTGTAATTTCTAAGGAAGAAGTATTGGAAACTCAAATCCTAGTATACATATAAAAGAAAGAGAGAGAGAGAGAAAGAAATATAAATCTCTTTTTGGAACGTATAAAAATATCGGCCATCATTTCAAGGATTATTTCGTCCGCGAGCTAAGAAGCTTAGTCGCCAGTCGGGGTTTCGTCGTTTCGTCATCTCATCATCTCGATCCTCGCCTCCGTCGAAGAGCAACATTACATACCGGCAACGGCTTGCGCCACTCCCGCCAGATTGAAGATGCTCTTGCGGCCGATGCTCTGCACGCAGCATCCGAGCAGGGCGGCTATCACGGTCACCGACATTGCCGCCAGACCCGCGGACAAGAAGAACAGGGACGCCTTCCAGCATCCCGGGAAGACGTTGGAGTCCGTCGCAAAGCCGTCGATGTTGAAATTCGCGCAGTGCGTCTTGCCGAATAATCTCGTGCAACGATTGAAGATCCCGACGGTTGGCGTGTATAGTTCCGTGTAATTCTCTAAAATTTTAGAGTCAACGAGTGACAATATATCAATGGTTCGCTGCAATTTGCCTCGACAAATAAACAACGGGTTTCGATATCGCAGATCTGATCTAGATTTAAGTGAGATACTTTATTTGACGATCATTTTCTTATTTGTTATGTAAATACGTAACTTGTCTGAGTTGATCAGTTGAGAAGGAGATACTTACTTGTGTCCTTAATTGTCAGTGGTCCTACAAGCCATCTGGGGGTGATAAGGCCTGCTAAAACTGCCATTAACGCTGCCAAAGACAAGAGCGTCCATAGCAGGCTGCGTCCAGTGACTATCACATAGCACATGCTGCCGATCGATTGATTTTCTATGCCATTCTTAAAACACTCGATCGTGTCTGAAAAATAACATATCATCATGAATTTTAGCACCTACGCTGAATCTAAATATTGAGATTATATCGGCATAATTATAATGAATAAGGATTAAGACTTTTTTAAATTCCCGCATAAGTGAGATTTGATGTTGGTAATTAACACGATCGCGTTTTTGTTGCCTCTATCGAAATTCGATTTTAATGAGCGGCCGCAATCGAATGAATGCCAGAGTAAATGCCTTTCACATTAGTATTTCGAGGAAAACGCCGCGCCGCTCGTCGTTGCTATTCGAGGTTCTCCTTCGTCGAGCGCGAGCATTAAAAGCGTGGCTGCGATACGGACCGAAACACGTAGGATACACAGATCTCGGGTTACGGCACCAGCGGCCAACAGTTCCGTCTTTTTATTCTGATTTCACGGAAATCGTGAAAGGGCACGGGGGCTCCTCGCCGGCTACAGAAATCACTCGATCCTCGGATCTAGCTCACGACACCGTGGAATCACCGACAAACGGACGTTGTAAAACGTTTTGTTCGTGATCGATTCTGGGAGACCAGACCTTTGCGGTCATCCCGGGAAATAGCGGTCTCTTTACAAGCATCGCTAGTAATTTTCTTGTCGATTAGAATAACATAGATTAAAATAAAACTTTAAATAGAAGTTCCTGAATAATTTTATCGTATAATGTTTGAAGACATTAAACGTTTCTAATTTATCTGCGCGCACGCGATAATGAGAATTTCCTTTTAAAAAGAATATCCTTGTAAAAAGAGTGATCTATGAAAGGGTTAATTCGAGGCGATAGCCTCGAATAATAGCTCCGGCCTTCTCTTCCCGGCGTGTTCGTGGGCGGCGCCTTTTCGCCTTTTACGCCACACGTCCTGCTCGAGACCACTCTCTCGCCTCTCGAGATTCTCTTGTGCTCTTCAAACCCGCAAACTTTAATCGCTCTGGCCCTCTCACCACCAATCGAAAGGTCGACTTTGATCTCCACCGGCGACGGGTCGACAAGGCTAAACGCGACCTATATTAAATATGAAAAGAAAGCACCTTCGAAACTTGAATTTTTTATGTAATTTTGCGGATTCGCGAGTTTAAAAATCCGGTCTCCGATACTACTGTATTGAAATCTGTTTTCCAAAGGTATACAAATCAGTTACAGAGAAAAAACGTAATAGTATCATCGTATATAAAGCCGAAGAAATTTGTCGGCACTCGCGCGGTACTGTTGTCGCTTTTATTTCCGTCACTCCTCGCCTGCAACTCGCAACCACTTCACGAAGTATGTTTACTTAGGATCACCCCCTAATCGCTGTTTATATTTGCGCTGTCTCAAACCTCGGAACATAAATGAATCTCTCTCCCTGAGATGACGTTGATGTATCGCGAGAGTATCTTAAGAAAACGTTCCTTTAAGCCACAGATTAATCAATCTCTTTTGCATTTTAACGACCACGAAAATCGCGAACTTAATTTACTAAGTGTCGAATCATTATTTTCAGAGAGATTATGAGAAAAATACCGACAAATTCTCATCTTCCTGATATTATTCGCCAATTAACGATAACTAATCGGCTGTCATCGCTGACGGGTTATCTTTTCCACTTAAACGATTTTCCGTCACGTTTAGCTCTTTGTTTCGGCGTCCCACGGTGGTCCGCCTTCGCACGTGATTGGGAATTAATGAGCCATGCTTCAATTGACAATCTATGTGATTCGGAACGGACGGGGAGAGACGAGAGCGCGGCATTGGATTGGACGCGTGGGCCGGCTGCTGTCTGCGAGTCTGCACGACAGGCAACTGCGGGCGTTTTTCCTTTTCTCTTTTATTTTAATTATACCGGCTTCATTGTTACGTGTAGCGCTGCCACGCCTTCTCATAATGCGATACGGGCCCCGCGCGGGCCCCTTTCGCCGAGACCACGCGCGCGAGCCACCAAGTCGCGTGAATTAATCCTCAAACTCGTACTGAGATCGGAATTCGCTCAAAATTTGCGCGAAATTCTTCCCATCTCGATGTCACTTTAATTATCATCGTTTATTCGTACGCGGATTTCGGAGTGCAATCGCTGTCGCGTTTAAAACGGTTTTTACGTAATTGACGAATGCGTTTTTGTGAAGAAAGGATAGGTTTATCATCGCGACGGGATCGACCGCGCAGACATTAGAGATCTGGGCTTACGAGCAGATTATTAGCATTCTCCGTTGACTTACGACTTTTTGGCCGTGAGTTACCGGACAGAGGACCTATTGGCGGATGACTAATGGTCGGAGCGTCTGTGCAACGGCTGGAAAAGAAGAGGGACGATATTGCATTCCGCGAAGATGCGTGAGCCGAATGAGAGATTCAGATGCCACCCACAGACGGACCCACAATAGGATCCGAAATATATACGAAATATATAATCTTTTGCGAAGGGGTAAAGACGTAAAACATCCAGGACAGGAATCTTAATTTATCGCTTGATTGCATAGAGATGTTAAGAAGGTTACGGAAAAGAAGACAGCGCCCTAGCAAACTTGCGGAGAAGCCAGAGAAGACCTTATTTGTCCGGAGAAGGAAGATTTTTCGAAGAACCGTGTCAATGGCAGGATTAACGCGACGCGGATTATCTTAATTGTTCCGAGGGCTCCTCTGCCAGCGGCGGTTTGAAAACAAGGCACCTACACAATCTCTCCTCCTTACATAATCTCGCGAGTTCGCCATATGCGAGGCAGCTGTTGGACAGGTGTTCCCTTGCATCTCGCATCTCTTGTCTTCGTCCTCCCCCTTCGCCTTCCACCAAATCAAGTCTACGGGAAGAGAAAGAAAAACAGAGAAAGAGAGAGGAGGAGACGCACCTTTTTCTCTTTTCTTCCATGGCTTCACCACGCCAACGTCTCGCTTACCATCGATTTTACCCGTGGTGATTTATCGCGATTCCGAAGGTGATCGTTTGGAAAACGATCGACCGGTCCTAGGCCGACCCGTGCCTAGCGTGCGACCAATCTCTCCCCCCATCAGGGTAATCTATGTGACGTGTAATTAGTCTTCTAATCGCGCTGTGAGTCATTCGACATGGATCATGTAACCAGGGCAAGTGGGACTCAAACATGCCAGTTGATTATTGTCGGACACTTAAAGGAATATTCCTAAAACGAAGTCTAGCAGAGAATTAAATACACATAGTTTTATTTTAGGTAATAGAAATTAAAACAAGCGCGAGGACGTAGGATTTTATAAAATTGTAACATATAGCTTTATATTGTATACAAAACACATATACTGAACTATAAAACTTTAAGATATGCATGATATTCGTCTTGGCGTAAAAAAAGCACACTCATATGCCTGTAACAAATCGAAGTGGTTTTCGTCGTTCACTAACCACCGGCGATTATTAGCGCTCGATCAGCCGGAAGTGCATGATGGAAGCGCGAGAAATTGTTTCCGAGTACGAGCTCGGTGAGAATTCACGCCTGATAAGCGTGCTTGGCGATGCAGGCCGCCGCGATTCTAACGACGGGATAATTAAGAAACGACGACAACGATCCTGAGGCCTAACGGTGATCTCGCCGACCGGCATCGAAGGCTCGGCGATTAAGATAACCGTCGGCTTTAGATCCAGCATGCAAGGATCCATCGAAGAGAATCCTCGTATATGATCGCGACGATTCCGATTTTAGTTTCTCGTTATTTCCAGATATATCCGACATATAATTTTACGTATAATAGGCACATATAAAAGAATTATTATCGGTATTATTATTTGTAAAATAGCGGGCCTGTGCGTATACTATCGCGCGAAATAAAAACTGAGTAGGCTGCGAAGTAGCGGAGTAGGATTTCTCGATAGGCCCGGGACATCTTGCGTACACGTAACATTATTCGAATTTACAGTCGCGTATATGGAATGTGTATATGGTGTTTAGATTGGACACGCGCTGAAAACGATCCGTCAAGTTTATCGGCGGCACTTGGCGCTCTCGGGCGTGCACGCATACAAGCGCCGTTAACGAGCTTATCTCGTGCCTCAGGAAGTTGCACACTTGCCGGTTGCCGCTTGCCGTCCGCGTCTGTGCGTGCATATTTCTGCGCGCGCGGCATTAATCGCCGAAGGCGATCGCAAGGCCAGCACGATTAGGTCTGCCCGTTTTAGCCGCGCGCTTTCGCCTGCGCTCGTCGCGTTTAAAGCGAAGATGAGAGACGGATTCGGGCCCTCCGGAGAGAGAAAGAGAGAAAGGAGAGATCGAACGCAAGGAGCATGTTGCGGCTGAAATGGACGGACCCACGGGCGATTCCACGAACGCTGTTAATCATCGCGGTTGCTCGAAATCGAGATTATTTCCGCGCTCTGGCGAGAGTGCGAGACTCACCACTCACGCGATCTCGTTGTTTCGCGACGCACTTAGAGTCATAACTCTGGCTCTCTTCTGGAAGTAAGATAAAACCACGAAGGATCCAGAAAAATCTTTGGAGAATTCAGCACAAAAGAACGAAAGATAAAAGGTTGCTTTTACCAGCGATGGCTGTACGAACTGGAGAAGAAATTTATCATTGATTCTGATCGTATAAAATAATATAAATAACACAATCATAATCGGTTCTCATGAAAAAATAATGAATTTTTTAGATTTATCTTACTTAAAATAAATAAATTGCGAAAAGAGGGGAAAGACTGGTCCCTCGCAGAAAATTATTCCTTGGCTACTCCTCCTGTTAAATTCCCGCGTTTATGACAGGATGCAAAACTCCTCGATTCTAAGGTGAATTTGTTTATCATTTTCGGCGAGCATCGCTGCCAGTTAACATTAACATTCTTTAACGTTGCCGGGAGCACGGACGCACGCACGCACGCAGGCGGCTTCATTTATGCGCGCACACGCACGAACGCCCAGCCAATTTATATTTATGATGTATCGGGCCTCGATGACACAGCGACTGGCTATGCTGGTCTCGAACCAGCACGGAGAGAAGGCTAGGAAGAAAGGACAAGATAGGAGCAATAGACAGAAGAGCGACCGACGAGAACGAGAGATCGAAGAAGGAAACAGAAAGAGAGAGGGGAAGAGAAGGAGAGGCTGCGAGAGAGACGAGGGGAAACACCCACGGAATGTAAAACGTTCCGACTGCTCTTGTCCCTCTGTAGGTTACTACCACTTCCGTTCGACTTGATTGCGAAAGAGCGAAAAATTCACGACGGACGATATTATACGCTCGATATGCTAAGTTAAAAGGGTACGATTGCACGAAACCATACCTTCCATAAATTAAAATTGGAATTCTCAGAAATTTTTTCAGAAATGAGAAACTCCAACTGGAAAAAAAACGCCAATATAAAATCATTATCTTAAAATTGATCCTCTTCGTACTCGCCTCGGTTTCCCCATCTTCTCGTTCGGACGAGACACGCACATTCTTGAAACTTGAACTTTTTCCTCTCTTTGTTCCTATCGGGAACGCATAAACTGTCCACGCTCGTAAAATCGTAGCTGATTCGATTGGCGGTCATTACTCTTCCCCGCAGCTCATTCTTCTGCTCGCTCGCAGGCTGCCTGCCTGCTGCCACGTGTTCGGCCAGAACTCGCGCATTTGCGTGAAACGCGCGGCGCATTTTAATTACCGTTCGCGGACGTCGACTTTTAAATAATGCGCGTCCATGCGTGACGCTACTCCTTGAGGTTTGAGGAAGGGTTCTCGAGAGGGAGAAGAGCGGATTTCCCGATAAAGTGGGCGTGACACCCGTGAGAATCCACTTCACGAATTTGATTCGAGCGATCGCCGTCGCAATATGGAGAAATTGAAAATACATTTCTTATTTTACGCGGAATCTCTCGCCATGTAAGAGATTCCATATTCTATATAGATATTACGGATTCCGGATACTCAGTCGGTGCTTTCAACGGTCATTCGTCGTATCTTTCGACGAGATTGAGCAGAATGCAATTTTTTGAAAACTTTTATATTGTATCATTCTCAAGTTTCTTTTTCTTTTCTATTCTATCAAGTGCTCTCGTATCTTTTCGATTGACTTTTTCAAATTGTTCGATTCGTGTCTCGTGAATACAGTGCTCTGACCCACTTGAGGGCCGAAAAGAAAAGACCCGGGTCCCCCTATAGCAAGCGGGGAACACCCTTTTGTTCAACGAGTCGCTCACCAGACGCGAGTCGCTCGCATTCCTTTCACGAAGAAAAAGAAGCACACGCGGTTCCTTTCCGCGTTGAAAAAAAAAGGGATAAGATGAATTTACAAGCGAGTGGTAACAAGCGATCGACCGGCTGCGCCGAGTTGCATCGGCAACATCTGGAAATACGATTTCATCTCGGAAGATCTCCCGGCGTTTTTGCGCTCCATTCGCATTCGATGCGAAAACTACTCGGTGGCTGGAATCGCGGAAATTTCTAAGCTTGGAAAAGCTTAAAATATATTAATTTAAGAAATCTCTGTCTCTCTTCTCGTGTCATTTTAAATAATAAATAAAATAAAATATTTTATCATAACTATAATTTTTAAGTCACGATTATCCTCGAATGATTGCACACGTTTTTCCATCAGCTGTACAAAATCGATGTGAGATATTCCCGCGTGAACGGAGTGCAACGAGGGAATATCTTATAGCCCACAGGCTATCCCGTTTCACTGAGCAACGAGGAAATCGAATCCCGTGATCCGGGCGACGAATTAAATTTCACTTATACATGTTAGTTCTCATCGCTCGTCGAATATTTCTCCAAAACAAACACGCAGATGCGACTCGACAAGTGCGCTCCGGAGAATAATGGAAACTATGGAGAACTCTCGCCGGTTGGTCCATGAAACGCAACTCCCAACGATAAAGCGGTTTAATTGACGAGCGCGTCGCAATTTGAGCCAATTTAGCGGCGCCCGAAATTAATTAATATTAACGACCGCTCGCGAACGGCGGAAGAGCGAAGCGGACCGGGATCGCGGGAGGAAATTCGAAACCACCCTGGGATGCATAATTCATAATACCGGGTGATTACCGGCGCGCCCTGACATCGTGATGTAAACACTCGTAAATCGATGCGGAACACGAGCGAGCGAACGAACGAACGAACGGTTGGGCGACGGATTCTGCACGAGAATCCTTATTCCTCGTAATGGTAATCCCTTAATCCCTTCCGCCACGGATTGGCGTAGCCGTAAATTTTTATTATTCTGCTCTGTTCTCACCGAGTTGAGGACCTCACGGATATGCGGAAATAATTATTATCTCCGCCGAAATTCCTGACGAGGGAATTTCGCGAAGAACACTGCTTGAAAATAAGAAATTACAATACGTCTTATAATTACGTGCTATTATAGAATAATAGTTACAAACAACAACAATTGGATGCAGCTTACTTTTCGTCGCCCCTCTACCGTGTTTGATCCAGCACGGTTTCTTTCCGAGCAAGATCGCGGCGTCTCATCGACAAACGATGTTTCGATGATTTAGCGTATTGAAGTCACTGTTTCGATGGGACACGCGCGATTCTTCGCCGATCGTGCGTTTAATCGTGGGCTCGAAACGCGCACATAATCCACCTCGCGTGCGGCTCGCTGGACGCGCGGGGCACGACTGAAGAACGCGCGGCGTTCGCTGGAGCGGCGCTATAAGGCTATAACGAGACGCGAACTTGTCAGCCGGCGTACATAAGCGAGGACAGAATCCTGACGCGATCAATCTCGTTCCGATGATAGATCATGAACGAAAGAACGGTCCCGTGTCTCGTTGCGATAAGTGAAATTCTCGAAGGACGCGTCGAAGTCAAGACTGCTGCAAAATTTAAACAAATGTATAATCTACATCTATCAAAGACTTTGATAAGGGGGTTTTTTACCGTTAGTTGCGAGTAAGTCTTTTGCTACAATTGACTTTCCGCGAATGTCATGATTTTGCAATACATATTTCGGGGGCATTACTTACCACAAAACGCTGCGCGCAGAATTTTTCACGATGTACTGTTTGGTGTTAAAAACAAGTATTTTATTATTCTATTAAGTACGATAGAAAAATTAAATTATATATTTATGTGAGAAAGGATTAAATTTTATATGTATAAATTCATGCTCACTCGGCACGTTGTCTGATATCACTACTTTTATAGCAAAAATAAATGAAAACAATATTATTTCGCGCAATAGCTACGCACAATATGACGCGCCCTTTGACACTTGGCGCCCTTTTTTTACCTTTTTTAAAAAGAGGTTTTTATGGTATTGTGAAAACGTGACAACTCATCGTCTGAATTATTTGACAATATGCAATTGCAACTCGGCAGGAACTCGGATAATTATTCGGATGAATGGTCATCGTCGACGTTGTGTTAAAAAAGAAAAATTAAATAAGAGGACATCAAACGCTTTGACTTGCCTCGACAAGTTTGAAAATTTTTCGATCGTATATCCCTCGACAATCTTCCCTCTATTTTCCCATAAAAATTTATGATCGTAATTTTGTCTCGTTGGTCAAGAATCTCGCGCGCAGCATCGACTTAACGCGCGACTGTCCGCTTCCCGTCGAGATGTGTCATCGATCGAGCCCGGGTTTACACGACCGTCGTTTGCGGCACCGCGCCGTTAGGACCCCCGACACAAATCATTTTGGTGAACGTCCCCCCGTAGCGCCTGTAATTACAGACTTTAATCCCTCGAAAGCCCGACGGCCAGTCTTTATCGCGCGACTCGATCCTCGCTGTCTTCTATTACGCAACCACGCACCGGCGCGGCGTTCGCTCGATACTTTTCCCGTAGGCTTCTCCCCCTTTCCCCTCTTTTGAGTTACGCGTGGTTTCATAGGGGGTTAGTCACCCCTATATTTCCCGAGCATCAGATTACACGTCGTTCGCAATAAGGGGGGCGCCTACGGCGCCAGGGTCCGGCGAATATGTGATGTGTACAAAAGGGACTTGCCTCGATCACAAGACGAAATATTGAAAATCAAGGATTTTTATATTCTTAAAAAATCTGTAATTACATAATTCAAAATGTATAAATCTTTGTACGCGCAGTAAAATCGATTTGATTTTTCGCGATTAAAAATCGAATTTCGTCATAATGCTCCCTAGATATTACATTTAGGATGTATTGTGCATTGAACGCTTTTTCTCATTTGTTTCTCTTTTGTCGCAGAGGAATCAAATAATGTTAAAAGGTTAAACATGACAAGCAGAAGAAGCAAACACGCTGCACCGATGAGAGATCGAGCATCCTGGATAAATGGTTAATATTTTTATTATAAAAATTATAAAGAACTAAGGGAAGAATCGAGATGTAGAATTATCAAAATAATTGGTACATTATGATTATTTGTTGCATCAATAGATCACTCGGGAGGGACTCCTCAAGAAAATTTTATTACGGAGTTTCTGACGCGCTGCGAGGAATATAACGTAGAACCGTTACCTAGTTTTGTTGTAAATTTTTATAAATACTATTATACCGTAGATCTGTATGTATAATTAATTTTTATTGTATAAACATTTACGTGTTTTTGTAGGTGAGAGATGACATGGAGCAATACGCGAAGATTGAGTCAGAAAAGTAAGTATTCCGAATGTTCCTGAATGTTTCGTCATGTTTTGAAATTCACGGTTCATTTAGGGTCAAATCAGAGGAAGATATCCCTATCTTTTACGTTTCTTTTGAAAACCCTAAAAAGATGGAAAATGTGCAGAAACTGGAATGTAAAGATAAGCCATGAAAATACACTAATATTTACCAGTCATCAACTTAGATATGACATTCGCGTTTATGTGCTCGTATCATTTTTCACGTTGCACGACAGGAAGTGTCGATTTGTATTCTCGATGCATTGAACACTACGCTGCAGAGATATAACACCGTCACTGTGCTCAAGTGAGACAAAATTTAAAAAGCCGCGTGATTTGGAGCACATTGCGACAACTGATAATTACGTTCTCTCTCAGATTACCCAGTTGTCAGATAAATGCCTACGGTATCCTGCAGATAGCACAAATGCTGACGGAATTCGAATGTCTGGACGATCTGAATCTAGATGACAATGCGAATGTGCAGGAGAATTATTACCTGCTCTGCGCACCGACCAGAAAGTGCATCGCAAATTCAATACAATCCCATTTCTCGCGGCAAACGCCTAATTAGACATAAAAAAAATTGCGTCTTCCAGTTTACGCTATCTGTCGCTGAGGATGTGTAAGCTATCCGACAACGGTATACAAAAGATCGCAAACGAGCTGAGGTATCGGGACCCGCCAAACAACCCAAAATTGATCGCTCTTAACGTGGCGGACAACGACATTACAGACATCGGTGCCGAGTATATCGCCGCGATGCTTCGAACCAATCGGTCATGTAGTTGCCAAACATTTTTCAGAATTCTAATCTGTAGAGATGTTAATCCCTCCCTGCGCAAAAGGAGTTTTAATGAAAATACATAACGTTTGCTGATGCTATTCGTAGATCTCTGCAGAGCGTGGTGTTAACCGGAAACGAGATACAGGACGACGGCGCTTCATTGATAATCCAGGAACTTTCTATGTATCTTCGACCGTAGTAGCGATTAAATTAGACAATTTTCTCAATTTAGAGCGCTATTTTTAATAATATGACGCAATAGGTCTACTTTGACTCACGAAGAAATCGTCGGCCTTCGACGTCGCAGATTTATCGAGCTGGAGAGCAAGGTTGATAGATTATCTCGCCATGATGTTACTTTGCCTATTAATAAACAAATGATCATTATTATAGCTGGATAGGCGAGTTACCCGAGAAACTCTCGTCACGGAGCGGTTGAAGGAAAGTGAAATATGGCAGCGTCAGAATTTGCTTCAAAATTCTAATAAAAGAAGTACGTTTAGAGCTTTACAAATTATTTTAAAATTCATTTTATAATAATTCCCAAAATGCAGCGAGCCGAGATAGTTCGTCAAAGATGAAATCCCAATCTAATTCACCGGCGATATCGGACAATTCCATTCAAGTATTTATTTCTAATAACATTTTGATTATTGTTTTTCTGTAATATATTAAAAGGTGTAAGTATTAAATGTATATTCCTAGACCTCGAGAAGGCTCTCGAACAGCGATCATCCATTTACAAAAGAAACTATAGCGATAAATGGCTCTGTGGTGACTAGTGGAAATTTAAATTTGCAACATTTGAGTTTAAGTTGTAAGTTTTCATTATGTCATATATATATATCAACTAATTTCTGTTGAACATGAATTATCGCTGCAAATTACGTATTTACACCTAGTTAATCGATTGACGAATAAGACTGTGAAAAATTTGGTAGCGTGTCTGCATTATCAAAACTATATGCTATTAAGCGATTGCAGCAGAGGGTTGCTACATGTATTTTTGGAGGTATTCTTTATCGTATGCACTATATCCAAGAAGGCTTTTATCATTGCGAGCTTCTTCTTCCTGTGATCAGGGTAACGATATCAAAAAGAACCAAGATTGGACAACATTTCAAGAACTTTTGTGTCGCAGACGACAGAGCAATCAGACGATACGAGATGCGGACTTTGAGGACTTTAAGGATTCGGTGGAAAGCGAAATCTTACGGAGCAAAATCAGAGTACGGTTACAATTTCCCTCAATTGATTATTCTCTCAGATTTTCTGTGTCTTTCACATTTCGTTTTTAACACATTTTCCTATTTTTAACACTTCTGGATAAAACTTAAAAAAATCACTGCTTTTCTTTTTTATTCAAATGGCTATTCAATTTTACGCAAAAACATATATTTTTATTTATATTAATTCTTTTACGTCTATTTCTCGGGGAATATTATGGGAAAGATTTGTGTTAGGCATAAATAAGAATTTAATTTCATTCAGCCTATATATATAGCCTGCTGGCGTTGACCGGAGCTTACAATTAGTAGAAATGAACAAAAAGAATTAAAATTTGCAATTAAGAATTAAAATTTTAGAAATTCTATTCTTTTTCCTTAGGGTCTCCGCATTTAGATTTTCGATTCATGGTTTTCCAATTGGACTCGCTGCCGCGCGGGGTGGCGCGATCGGTAACGATGCCATTCGGATGAGATCTTATTGGATGAAAATCTTATCTTATCTCGCTCTGCCCAGCGCGCGATACCCTCTGCATCCGAGGGTATCCGAGAGTGAGCCCCGCGGCCGCATTGTCACTTTCGGTCGTTGCACTTTGTGGAAATGTTGTTGCACGTCGCCGCCGTTACCGTGCTCGTTAACATCGCCATTATCGAACTGGACTCCCTTTATTCCTCCTCGCCGACGAAGAATTCGGACGTGGACTTCTCAGACGAGGTAACGAGCGAGCCGCATCGACGACGCCTTCATTAACGAAATACGATACGTCGTAAATTGTCGTATGTTTCATATTTCACGTTGAAAATTCTGTCTCGTTAATTCATATTACATTGTTTTACATAAATTCTTTAGAACTCAACCATCCTTCTGTCAATTAAGTTATTAAAATTGCGATCCACTCGCTACTTTCGCGTCTGTTCGACATTCATGTGTAAATAAGAGTGATAATAAAATTAAAATGTGAAGAATAAGATCGTATAGAATTACAGTTGTTCGTATCTCGTGCGGCCAGCATCTGTACAGCTGAATTTCAAATCTTTTTTTTTTTTTTTAATCAGATACCGACGTAGCATGCGTATATAATAAGGGGGTGAGGTCCCGATCCCACACCCATGCTTTATATTTACTTTATAGTGGATATTACGTTATTAGGAATCAAATTGCATTTTACATGACAGAGATAAGTAATTCTAAATAATCGCGCCGATCGACAGTACCGACATCTAACGACGACATATTCTATCGTCCGCAACAGCTGATTATTGCGTGCCCATGTGCCTATACTGCCTATGCATTATTGTGCGCTCATGCGTTATTGCGTCATTGCGTGCTGTCGAGTTCTTCGTTATTTTTTTTTTCTCGCGGACTGTCTGACGGGCCGCGACTCGAGAGAATCTCGCGCGTTCTCCGAGTGCGGGTTCGAAGTTCGGAAAGATACAGAAGTACTCCGTGAAAAAACTCTCCCGAAATCATCTTTCGCTGCGTGCAACATTCCACGGTACCGTTTCAGAACGTAAAGTTTAGCCTCGTTATTTCGACGATATCTGGATCGATCGATTGACGTAATTCACTCGCGCGAATACGGCAATTCTCCGGGTCGCGATGCCGTCAGCCGGAAGTCACGTGTAACCTGGCTACCACCCGCGATTTTCGAAAATGTACGAAAACCTGTTCAAGAGCCCGCTCCACCGCGTGTTCGTGTACGGCACGTTGAAGCGAGGCGAGCCGAATCACGGCTTGATCAAGGACACCGCGAACGGCTACGCCAAGTTCCTGGGTCTCGGCAGGACGACGACCCGGTATCCCTTGGTCATCGCCACGAAGTACAACATTCCGTTCCTGCTGAAGAAAGCCGGTGCTGGCCACGTGAGTTGAAAAAAGGAGCTCCTTGAACAATTGAATCTATGTTAATTTTGAATTTTGAATCTAGTTATTCTCATAAATCTTCCACTTTTCAATTTTTTTTTTTTTTTTTTATTTACGCTTGCGATTTTAATTCCGACTTAAAAGACCTTTATTCGTCACGCTATGTCAATCGTAATAAAATTTTCTTAAACAACTTGTTTTAAACAGTACGTGCTCGGAGAGATATACGATGTGGATTCCAACATGATGAAAAAATTGGACGAGTTGGAGGAACATCCCAAGTTCTACGAGCGAACGGAAGAAGAGATTTTGTTAGCGCCGGAGGCCGCGCTCAAACCTGGAAAACCTTTCGAGGAGGTAAATTCGATGGATTTACGCATGTGCATGTACCGAGGGTTAACGCTTTATCGAATGCAACAGGCATCTATAATTTTTCTTCTGACGGACCTACTCCTTCCTTTTAGGTCGGCGAGTCGACGAAAGCCTGGATATACTTTCTGCCGAGATACAAATCTTCCCTGCTGGACAGTACCATGTACGCGTCTTACACCAACAACGGAAGTCACGGGCTGAAGTATTGCGAGAAGTATGTCCGCGATGCGTCCTACGATCACCGAAAGGAGGTGCAATAAATCATTGCCGGCGGCTTTTATCTCTTTGCAGCGACAACGACGCGTCGAGCCCCAACGATGTTCTTTGAATATTCGATCGAGGGTGCTATTACTTATGGCGAATGGTCTCTCCTACGTTAATTCTCGTGAATTCAGGAAAAGTGGCGACGCAGAAAACAATGAGTGAATTATACAAGGCTGTTTTGTATCGCACGCATAGCGGCGCAATTATTTGAAGCTATATTTTTAAGGAAGCAACTCCACGTCTCTTCCGAACCAATTACACACAATAGATAAAAATAATTTATATTATATAATTAGTTTTATATATATGTGATACAACAATCGTTCCTATATTAACATAATTATCTATTCTTCCAAATCTTCAAATCGAAAGAATTTAGCCGGCAGACATATAAAATGGGATTTTGCAAATAAAGGAGCGAAAAAAACTGGCATAAAAGTATCTCGGTGATTGAGTTTTATTAAATACGTCACGTACGCTCGCATCCCACACTTTCGCGCACTCTCACTTCCTGTCATTCTATCGCTCGCTCTCATGTAACAGTAGCGATAAAATTATTGTATCTCAATTATTCTGTAACAAAGGGCAGGCTAGTCCGCGTTGCCGCGGCGATCAAAATCAATTCGAAACTGTCTCCAAGAGGCACCGGTGTTGCGCGCTTCCGCCGCGTGCTCAAGTTAAACTTCTCCTGGGCGTTGTACAACGCGATGTTCATCCGCGGCCGACGTGCTTCTGACGGACGTGAGTCGCGGTCGCCGGTCGCGGAAAGACGATCGGCCAGATCACTGATCACTCGCGCACGCGGGTAATCGAGCGTTGCGCTTCTCCTCGCTTCGAGAATCGGTTGATCGACGATGTACGGTACGGCAGATTAAAAAAAAAATGCTCGGAGGCAGTACGTGTACGAGTTATCCTAAGAAATTTATTTATAAATAATCACATTTTATCACACGCTATACAAGAATTCTTATTATTATCTACCGTTTCCGTATGGCATTCTCTCTCCTCCTCGTGTTCCGTAAATAACACGCGTCACGGGTCACCCTGCCGAGGAGGATCCGCCAACGAGAGAAACCGTTCCCCAAGAAACGGATTCGATATTTATTCGCCGCGTGTTCTTCATCTTGGGAAAGAAACTCTTGATATCAACAAAAAGAGGAATTATACAATCGTCAACAAAAGCGTACATAGAATTTCCGTTTTATGTTTAACACGTGTGTAAGTATGCGTATGTCTTTCTCCCTCCTATTTTGTGCACAACCCCACCGCGACACGGTAGCTTGTGTTTCACGCTTTTAATTAACTATTTTGCCCCTCGTTACTCTCACTCAAAAAGTTGCGTTTGTGTTACTTCGTCGTCGTTCTCTCGAAACTCTTACCGTTTCCGCGCCGTTCCAAAGCCCAGCCCCGCGAAAAATTCGATTAATAATATACATGTACATATATATATATATTATACATATATACCTTAATTTATCTAGAAATTTTCGTTCGTTGACGCACGTTGCCATTTTGAGCGAAGCGATACTCTCCCTCCACTCGAAAGTGGAGAGAAAAAGAGAGAGAGAGTCCAAGAAGCATCCCGCGATCCTTCGAAGATGTTATTCGAGGATATAGCTCTCATACAGAGCCGCTCACATTAATCGCGTGAATCTCGATCTCGAAGCTTATCGTGTTCGGACGTGTCAACATGATCAGTCCTATTTACATCGATAATACTCAATGAGAAGGCATCGATCGTGGCAGTACGTATGCACGCTAAATTAAAAGTAGCACCGTATGAAAAAGAAAGTGCGAATACCACGTAAAATACCTTAACGAACGATACTTTTTCTTTAGACTATAATCCGCGTAACGATAACGCATTACTCGCGGTAATAACGTCGCGTTCCGGCCCACCGGTTTTTGAGGATTCGAGCGTCAGAATCCATTCTTTTATCGTCCTGACGCTTTCCTGGAAGCAGCATACTACACCCTATGCTGATTACAAAATGAAATATATAAAAATCGATTTCCAACCACGTTGTCTATACGGTATGAAAATAAGCTTGCGCACATGCACGATATTCATTTCGAGTTAGTTACAAGGTCCATGAGCGCACGTGTGTGTGTGTGCAAATACCTATAGGATCGACGATCCGTCTCACGATCATTTCGGAATCGCCGACGAGAGAACCGGACGTAGCATCCCCGAAATTTTATCAACTCGGGGCGTGTGTATGTGTGCATACACCTAGTCTATAAAATAGATTTTCTCGGCGAGGTTGAGGTTGGGCCACGAAGCGGAGAGGGGCGACGATGTGATTGCGTGTTTTTGATTCCGTCGATCAGAGCTGAAAAAAGGCGTTTTCAGCTCTGATCTTGCAGGGCGTCGTATTTGTTGCCAAGGCAGAGCTTGGCTTGCGAATCTGGCACCGTGTACGATCTACTGCCACCTCGGGTGCGAACTTCCTCAAACGCTCCTTCCTCTCGCCGCCTGTAATTAAAAACCACCGACATTACACTTGGATATCGGACTACAATATCGCTCGAGGCGACGTACGTGCCTCCTTATCCGCGTGAACGTGAATATCTCGTACCGCACAGCTAAGGGAACATTATTACCAAGACTTTGGTTACGTCTTACCGTCTGGTGCCCCATGGACCGCTGCCATTATTTGGCTGGGGGGGCTTGGAGTTCAGGGTTGGGAAGTATTCCTCACTATTTATATCGGGCGCGATATTTCTTCCTCGTGGTCGCGGACTAGCGAACGTAGGTTGATTTCGTAAGTGTGGTGCTTTGTAACTACTTCCAGTCGAGGAGGCGGCAGCAGGTGGGGCGGGCGGGGTCGGTTCCACCACCTCGGCGGCGGGCGCTTCCGGCACCACTTCCCGCTTTTTCCATGGTCCCGTGTGCTTTGTGCCGCCCTCAACGATCTCTCCGTCCGAACCGATTTCGAAGGCACCACCCTCTCCGTCTGATTCTACGTCAACGCTGTCGTTCACCGTTAAGTGTCCTATTTTCAAACCACTGTAGTCTTTCTTCTCCTCCTCGAACTCCTTCCACTCGTCTTCGTCCTAAAAACAAAATACCCTCGTGATATATTCATGTCGCTTTTTCTAATTTATCTTCACACGTATCACTGTCACAATCCACCCAAGTCCTTTGTGACTCTCGCGCAGTCGTGCACGACGGTACATTCGTGGCTCACGATAAAATGCTTCGCAACTCGTAACGCATATGCATTTTGCAACGTGAGAATGACAGGTTGGAGTAGCCGCGAGAAAAGGTACTTAGCTAATTGTCACGTCGCATATGCTGCTCTCCGCCGAGAGCTTTCGCGAACAATCACCCCATCCTCTCTCTTCGGGTGGAAAGAGAGAGGGGGAGGGGGGAGGGGAAGGAAGATCCGAAGAACACGTGCACGCGAAACAGCTGCCGCGACGCGCGCGGGCGACCCTGCGGGTCCGGGGATTACGTAAGGCGTCCCAGGACGTCCGAGGAACGTCCCGCGTCGTCGTCGCCGTCGGCCCACTCCACGCGACCGTTCCCCCTTCGCGAAGAATCAAACATGGCAGCGCCGTAGCGCGGACACGAGGTTTCGGAATTCCACGATGAAAACGCGTTGAAACGCCCGCCGTGCCCGACCCGTCGTCCCCGTTCTCGGCTTACCTCGGTGTGCTGGGATTCCTCGCCCTCGGGATTAGCCGGCTTCTCCTTCGGCTTGGGCTTCTCGGCGGGCCGCTTGCCCGTTTCTTCCAGTTTCTTGGCGACCTCGTCGGTCGTGGCGAATTTCTTGCCCTTGGCCTTCTTCCGGTCTTTCTTGGCGAAAAAATCGTCCAGGTCCGCCATGGCGACGAGACGGAGTCCGGATGGCGCGACGAGGGAGCAACCGGGAGGGAGAGCGGAAAGATCTGCGACGTGCGAGAACGTGCGGACACGGGCGCGCCGAGAATCACGCTTGATCACGGACTGATCTGATCGTGGATCGTGGCATCCGCCGTGCCGTCCACATGGGCTTGTCTCCGCCGGAAGTCGGCAGCGCCGACGCGACACGGCACACGGCGGTACGGCACGCGCGAGTCAAGTGCGCGCCTGAACGCTCGCGGGAGAATGACAATATTGAGAATAATGAGAATGTCGCGCGAGAGCGGGATCTCTCGCTGGCTCGCGAGAGCGCGAGAGATGCTCGTCTCGCGACGCCGACGATATTTCGCGCGGACCGCGACGCGCTTCCTCGTCCGATCGACGGAACGCGAGATCACGCGGGTCGCGCGAGACTCCAGCGGAAGATCGCGGGCGCACGGCGAACGAGTGATCCCTAACCTGAAAACCACGCGTCGCTCCGCGCACGTGACAACGACCGAACGCGTTTCTCAACGCGCTCGCGAGGGACACGTTCGCGCCGATCTGCCGACGACCACGACGTAAACTCGTCAACCTGCACGTTCGGCTCGGATAAGCACGCCGTGCGAGGCCGAGGCGTGCGAGAGTGTAAAGGTTAATTGTTTCTCCCGTATCACGTATCGCTGCGGGGGTGGGGGCGGGTGACAGATGGCGCCGTTCGTCACTTCCGGAATACGAATGGTTGAGAAAAACGAAACGCAGCACGACGAGCAGCAATCCTCTTTTCTCGGCCTAATTTAATATAAAAGAATGTTACTTGTTTTTTATATATATCTTGGGATATATTTCTTTTCCATTGAAAATATTTTTTGTATGTTAAAGCGATTAAATCGCTTTTGACCCTTACATCACAACTCAAGCGCGTTGAAAATTGAAAATTTCAAAAACTTGTCGACGCCTAGAAGTTCGGAACGCTTTGCCTTGCTTTGCGCGTCGTTAATTATGCGGTCGCGCGTGACGCGCGTCGGAATTAAATGTACGCGCAACGAGCGACGAGCACCGCCCGTTAACGTATGTAGTAGTATGTATACGTACGTTTATTCCCCCTGCCGCGAGTGGCCGCAAGTGCCTCGACTCTCGACGATTCGCGGCAGGGAGCGGGGTCAGCGGGGGGCGCATGCGCGGCCGGGCGCGAATCCCGCGTATACCGCACCCCGCACCGCGGCGGCCCGCGCTCCGCGTCCGCGCGGTGTTCTTTAGCAGATTAGCAGGAATAGCAGGCACACTCCGGCAGCAGCACTCGTCGACGCGAATCCCTCACGGCTGTGTCTGGCGACCGGCGGTCTGTCTCGCGCATCTCCTGCATCGCGTCGAGGAAAAATACGCGAGCGCGGCGTAATACCTGCCTTTGCCAATCCTCCACGGCGACGGACGACCAGAAGCGGCCAGTTCGGTGGGCCGGAACTCGGCTCTTCTCTTCCCCCCTCGCTTTCTCGACCACGCGCGGCCGCGGCGGACCGAGCACGATCGCGCCGGGTTTAATGTGTAACGTTAACGAGACGCCGGCGAGATGAGGCTCACACGGAACTGCCTGAACAACATAGGCAAGATGTTGGACTTCTACTCGCAATTCAACCCCTCGCCGCTCTCGATAAAACAGTTCATCGATTTCGGTGAGTCCTACCAGTCCTACCCTCGCCCTACCTTCGCGGCCCGTCGACCGTCGGCCAAGTCGCCGAGGACAGGCCTGGCCAGGCCTCACAGGCCGTGAAAGCGCAGAGCTTCGGCCTGTCCGGCGCGTCGCCTCGCCGTGCTTCGCGTCACGTAGCGTAGGGTTCGGTCGCCGCGCACCGCTCGTTATGTTGATTAAGCGCGATTGACGGGCCTGAGACCCTGAGAGATGCCCGAGTTCCGGCCGACGAGACGCGACGTGACGCGACGCGGCCGTAACTTTCGGCAACGGTACAGTTAACTTTTTTTAGCGACGACGTTACGAACAAAACATTCGCTCAGAATATATCTCAGACTTGTATATACGTCTCGCTGGAAATCACATACGCTCCACCTCCACGTATACTAGCGCATGCCGTATATGCGTATTACATGTTTCTTATGTTTATGTTCCGTAAACACGAGAGAAAGTTGAAAAATAAAGCTACAATTTTCGTGGACGAAGCAATCGTGACATTGACAGCTTTCCGATGTCGCAAGAATGATATAAATCTTGCACGATGCCAACGTGCATAATAAGAATAAATTAAACGATACTAATTGAAATAAACAAACTTCACAGGTGTGTTTCAAGCAGTTGGCATATATTATTGTCTACGAGGAGGGCGAAGTAGATGGCAAAAGATGAAAATATACATTTGAGCTTCTTATTTCCTTTTCTTTTCTTTGAGACGAATATTCGGATGTGCATTCGACTCGTGACCCTTGATATCAAAAAGATTTTTCGTAAATTCTTTCTAATATTAAATGTTTTTCTTAATATAATTTCTAATGCTTCATGCTTAATCTAACGAGTGACAATATTATATTTAGACGAGGGGAATAAAGTATATAGCCGGTTCTTAATAATTAACGAAACGTTATCTATAATATTCTTTTGTGACGTCCTGTCTTCTACGTTTCGATACACAGGGGACCTTGGTGCCCCACGTGAACGTCTCGCGACGCGCGATGTAGCCCGTCACTGAATTTACGCGTTAAATAACACAGCGACGTTATTATGCTACTCCGTTTCCCCGTAGCACGCAGGCCTGGCACACGTGCGAATTCGATGAAAAATTCATAATTGTCTGGACGCGCATGCGAGTTCCCGTAATAGGTTTTCTTATTTCTCGATTCTCGCGGTGAAAGCCATGTGCTCTATTTCCTCTCCCCTTTTTATGAACAAAAGGAGAGTTGCTTGCTCGCGGCTCTCGTCGATAAGAAATGATAACACGCTCGTGATGCAATTCGCCCCGGACGTAAATAAGTCACAACGTATTTCTCTTTGCCAGTGGATCACTCGGCGATAATTATGTATTTATAGTGATAAATATTCACGTGATCAAGGATACGTCGTTACTGTAAAATAACCGTTCGCAAGCGTTTGTATCGGAAAATACATAAAGATAAAGTCAATAAAAAAAATCGGATAACCGCGAGCTTCTGGAAGAAGTCGATTTAAAAATCGAAAACATTTCTCGAAAGGATGGGAGAATATTTCGAAACACGATTTGTCGACAAATAATGAGTCAGCGAATGATGAAAAGAGAAATATTTTGGAGACATGGGGGAAAGTGAGATGAACGGCCGAGGTCATTCACCTATACGACTTCCTGTCTTAATACACAAGTATGTTGCGTGTTTTGCCTAGCGGTCGTGTAAAACGTCGCCAAACGTCACAGACGTGTCTAAATAATAGGTATCCCGTGCTCCAATTATCCCAGAGTCCATTATATCGCAACTTTATAGAAGTGCACATCATCACTCTCATGGTCTATCGATCTCTGACGTGTTCTAATGATTAATGTACAGCGACGAGAAAATGATTAATATACACTATACAGCAACTGAAAATATGTTCGATTCGAACATGTATATGCCCCGGAAAATGTTCTAATCATAAAATGTATATTATACAGGATGCCTCACGAGACGTACATGAAGCTTCGAGAATATCTTGAGGAAGACTTTTGTTTACATCCCGTTATTTCGCGAGCGTGTCGAATATTCCACCACGTAATCTCGATAGCAAATAATTATACGATGCGTCACAACGTACTGCCTCACCTGCGATTTCCTTGAACGAAGTGTGCACTAAAAATTCAATTGGACATGCACCAGGGGATCCATTTAATTTTAACGCGAACGGTGAATCGACGTTTTTAGCCGAGGTATCGAATTAAATGAACGTCCGCCCGTGTGTTTTTCGCTGAAGAAACGATATTTAGATGGGATTCGCGTTCCAAGAGGAACGTGCTGCCCTTCGCCTCGTATCGGGTCAAGGTCGCAGGCGTGTCGTGCATTTGGAGAAAGGTATACATCCGTCGGTTTCGGTCACTGCCATTGGTGACATTAAGGCCTTTCTGTGAAACCTAAAAGGACGAAAATAGAATTAATCGTGTATAAGCGCAGTATTAACCCACTTTGGAGTGTTGCCCGCGACTTGGCGCGACGTCGAATGATACGAGGGACCAGGAGTGGACACACGCCTGGTGGACGTTGTACCCCGCGAATAGTGTCGTCTTAAGATCATACCCGCCCACGTGTGTGCGCGCCTGACGCACATCCCGCGTTTTCCTGAAAATATGCACGTCACAAGGTACCGTGAACTTTGTACTGTGAAATCGATACATTTTCAAGGGTAAAGTAATGAGAGGACGTGAAAATAGAAAAACCTAGACTGATGCGTCTACCTCTTTTCACAGTTCTGTGCAAATGGGCCGAGGGAAATGGATTAAAAGTTTAACTATCGAAAATATACTCTGCAAAATAAATTTAGAACTTAATTCAAATTATTAATTAATAATTCATAATTTACTCTATTTGCTTGTGAATGTTATTGCTGAATATTATTTAAAGATAATTTACTATATGTGTATATAGAATGGAAGCTAATCGCTAGTTGTTGATTTCGTTCTCGTTTTATTCGCGCGATGTATTCCGTATCATTAATCTACATTCCCGGTTATGCACGTTCTATTTATATGTTGCGTTAGTTATTAAACTTTCATTAGAGATTTTTGTCATGTGGCGGGGAAGAGATCATCAATATTGCATCGCATAGCATGCGTTATCAGTACAAAATAGTTCGTACGACCGATTTTTCTCCATATTATACATTCGCGAGGAATGATAAGTCAGATTAAACGTATGGCGTGGTATATTTGACGTCACTTTCAAAGATGCGATTAAGGTTGTCGGATGAATGTAGCACTGATTAAAATTAGTGGGCACTCTGTATAGTGTATACGATGCCGAATGAATACCAGTCGCGAACGAATATTTTACACAGAACTGACACTTTTCATATCCTTCATATTATTTTTTAATTTGACCCAATTCTATGTTTTTCTGAAATGTTTTTTTTAAGATATATCGCCAAATTCTATAGTTATAAGGAGAACAATAATTTATTATTTGAAACACACACACACACACAAATTTCAACGGTACTTTAGCCTGACAATATTGAGGTCAAAGCAGTAAACAAAATTAAATCTGACGGTCGTTTTCGGAGTCGAAAAGCAAACGCGACGCGTTTTATTACGATAAGCGAATCAATGCTGTCAGTCTCTGTCAATATTACAATATTATAATAGAGCATGCCATTTTAATATTTAAACCATACATTCAGCATTATAAGAAAGAGAAATTGTTTATGTATTACTAATAGCAATTGCTAGTCAAATGATTACCTGATAATTGTTTTTTATCGTTACTTGATCGAAAACAAGTTTATTACACACTTTGATTTCATATGCTCCTACTATGAAGATTACATATCTGTGGATAAGCAATTTTTTACCGTGAATTGTAATCTTGAATTATCTAACGCTGATAGTTTCACAGAATTCTATTATCAATTATGTAAGGTTCATCAAAAAACAAGTTACGAGATCGTTAAAAATGATACAATGAGAAATGCAAAAATATTTTGCAATATTTTGCAGCTATGTTATCTTATCACGGACCGGCAGTTCTAAAGGGCATCGTTCTAAAATCGATTGATGGCGAAATTAGAGTTTACTTTTCGAGACTATAACATCCTTCTTTCCTGCGCAGAATACTCTCGAAAAACGAGATATTCTTAATCGCTTTCTAACTCGATACGCAAAGAACTGTTATTCTCATCCTTCTGTTCTCTTAAAAAAAGAAGTGATGCAATGTGTGTATTTTTGCAAATCGAATATTCGTCTACGGGAAGAGAGGTCCAACTCATCTCAACGAACAGCAAGCACTCGCATCTCCCTCCTACAACGAGGGAGATTAGTAAGATGACGCGTGGGAAACAGCTGTTCAATTTTATATACCCGTCTGACTTTAAAGCCCTCACCGCACCAATCGCGGTGCGCTGCCGCGCTGGTGCGGTGATCCACTCGAAACCTGAGCGCTTATCACGTATTATACTTTATATACTACTCGTGCGTTTGTTATCTTCCTCGCGTTTCGGCATTTGCAAGTAAACGAATCTATGATAGCTCGTATCTGCACAGATGTACCTATAGGCTACAGAGATTATCTATGGACTGTACGTAAACGTATTTAAATCCAATCGATATTATAGAAGCGAAGTGGTCTAGCGTGGTAGTTCGGGGCCTGACGTGAAATCCTAAGCGATTTATTTCCACGGGACGCATACTGCATACTGTCTATGCCCGCGAGGCTTCGTCCATGAACAGTGTATGGTTTTTGCACTGAGAAAACCTTATTATGCTATCCCTTATTTGTCCGCGCCAGTCCGGTTTCTCGACTTCGTAGAAACGCTCTTGGAGCACGTTCCGGTTTCGCTTCATCCGCGCGATGTTCCCTCAAGTGTTTTGTCGTGTGTAGAATTTTATCTTTCGTATTATTTTTCGTATTATTTTTTGATTTATCTTACGATAATGCCAATTGTTTTAAAAATGCGAGTGAAACATTTCGCAATTGCGGAAGAGGCCGTCAGTCTCTCTCTCTCTCCCTT